AGCATCAGCATCAGCATCATCAGCAGCAGCATCAGCATCATCATTATCATCATCCTTATCATCATCGTCATCATCATAGTAATCCGTATCAGCATCAGCATCAGCATCAGCATCATCCTCATCCTCATCCTCATCCTCCTCACCATCATCACCATGATCCTCACAATCATCATCATCGTCATCACCTTCATCACCATCATCATCATAATCATCATCAGCATCACCATCATCAACAGCATCATCATCAACAGCATCATCAGCAGCAGCATCAGCATCAGCTTCAGCATCCTTGTTCTCATCCTACGCATCCTCCTCCTCATCATCAACATCATCACCAACACCAAAATCATCTTCAGCAGTATCATCATCATCATCAGCATCATAATCAGCATCAGCATCAGCATCAGCATCAGCATCATGATCATCATCATCAGCATCATCACCAGCAGCAGCATTATCAGCATCATCGTCATCAGCATCACCATCATCATCACCATCATCGACATCATCAGCAGCAGTAGCGTCATCAACATCATCAGAAGCATCATCAGTAGCAGCAGCATCATCATCAGCATCATCATCACCATCATCAGCATCAGCATCATCATCAACATCACCATCACCATCATCATCACCATCATCATCATCATCATCATCATCATCATCATCATCATCAACCTCACCAGCATCAGCATCATCATCATCATCGTCATCTTCTTCTTCACCATCATCATCAGAATCAACATCATCTTTATCACCATCGCTACCTTCGCATTGGCGGAGAGGAAGACGGAAAGAAAGACGAGGACGGAGACGGGACGAGGAGGAAATGCAGGAGGGGAAGTGGTAGGTGGAGTAATACGAGGACGAAGACGAGGGCGAGGGGAGGGTGCAGGAGTGCAGGCGGGAGGGGGGGGATGGCGGGGGGAAGCAGGAAGGGCAAGGTGGGACATGGGAAGAGAAGAGAAGAGGAGTTCAGAGAAACCAGGAGGAGGTAAAATGAAGATAGCGCGGGGGGGAGAAGAAGGGACGTTTTGCGACGGCTTGGCAAGCACGGCGCGCAGGGGAGGAGGAGGGGACAGACGCCACTCTGATCCCAGCGCTCTCCACCCAAGGAATGCGAGCGCCCCTTGGCCCCCCCTTGGCCCCTACGAGCCCCCGCCGAGAGGTCAGAAGCGCGAGGGCTCCACCAGGGACGCGGAGGGATCCGAGATGGCCGATCCCGAAGCGGCGGCTCGCAGCCGCTGCCGAGACGGGGCCGACACCCGGGCCTCGCGGAGCCTCGACGCTGCCTCGGGAGGCCCGGCACACGAGGGGCAACCGCCCCGGCGTGTGCGGCCCAGCCTCCTGGCAGGAGAGCACGAGCCGTGCAGGGCCCCGGGAGGCCAGGGCCGCGGGGGGGAGGGCCAGGCCGCACCCCCCCCCGCGACGAAAGGGCCCCCTGTGCAGGCACGACGACCTCGGACGGAAACGGGCCAACCCCGACGGCAACGGCGCAGGGGGCCTACTCCAGATTTCGTAATAAAGGGAGGGGGGTCTCATTTCGGGGGGGGTCTCTTCCAGGCTATCTTGGAGGGCCTTGGGGGGTCTGGGGACGATGTTTTGGAGGGTTCTCCCACGGGGGGGGGTCTGAAATGGCCTGTCTTGGAGGGTCCAGACTCCTTCCCTTTTATCACGAAATCTGGAGTAACAAGCCTCTGAAAGCCAGGCCCGAGAAACCAGCAGCTCGCACTCGGTGCACCGGAAATCGGTCCCGTGAGCGTTGAGCTTGTGCGGGCTGGCCCGCACTACGCGATCCATGGCAGCGCCTCGCCTGGCTCTGTCTCGCGGGGCATCATCGGCTCAGGCTTTGCGGGGGTCCGACGGGTTGAAAGCATTAGGGATTCTGCAGATATACCCGACTATACCGCCCATAATTATCGTCCCTAATACGAAGACGGGGACCTCGCTGATGAAACGCCTTCATCGTGTTATTAAGGTTAGGGCTTCTTTCGTGATCGATGACATCTTGAGCCGCGTCCCCGATGCATCGGCGATGCGGCGCGATCCTCCCCCCCTGCCTGCTCGGGCCCCATCTTCAGGGGCGTCCAAGGATGGGGCGTCCAGGAGGGGGGTCTCAAGTCATGGCCGCATGCATGTGCGCGGACCAGGGGGGACCAAGGGACGCATTCAAAGAAGAAGAAGACGAACACGCAGAGAAAAGGCATGAAATCCGGGGAGATATCATGGCCCCGGCCATGATATCCGCCCCTCCCCCCCCCGTCATCGCCCCCCTCTTAACCAACCCCAACATCTGGTGGGTGGTTCAAAGATGGGGTCCTGCGGGATGGGGTCTTGAGGACAAGGTGCCTCAAACGATGCAAATCCACCCATGGAACCCGTCCTATCCTTAGGACCCCATCCCTCAGGACCCCACCTTTGAACCGCCGATCTGGGAGGCCTGGGCTCGCATCGCCTCAGGGTTAGGTCGGACGTGTCCTCCTACAGGCGAACCTGCAAC